CTTGCCGCGTTTCATGAACAGTGTTCAGGCTGGGTAGACACCTCGAAAAACCACCGTTCTCGTTAACAAAGAGATTTTGAACAGTGACTTCAGGTACAACAGGAAGCTTAATGAACGATTCACTAGCAGCAGGATGTACAGTCTCAGTGCTGAGCACAGGTTAGGAGAGCAGTGTGCCTAGCTCTTCATTCCCTGCCGTCACTTCCCAACCACTCTGAAGCCAACACCACTCCGTATTAGACTGCAGACAGATTTAAGGCATTTAGATTTGAGCCTTGGCTGGGTGGGATGCGAGTCACACGCAGAGTGTTCAGACACCGTCAGAACAGCCAGAAAAGTTCAAGGCTCACTACGTTCTTGCTTGACTCACAACACAGCTCTCCAAAAAGAATAAAGTCTGCCACTCAGTTCAGGACCAGACTGCCTCAAAATCTTTTGCTGAACTGCCAACTATCCTTGTATGCCTTCACGATCACACCTGGAACTAGCTTATGCAGAAAACTCAGCGCAAAACCCTGATGAAGTTAACTGTTCCACCCAGGCCCTCAGTTGACTGGGTGTAGCATCAGCTACAAATTTTATGTTGTAACTCCGCCTCACTAAACATTTCAGTTTCTCTTGGCATAGGCACTGGAAACGACAACTTGGCAATGAAGCCCTGGATCTTGAAGGGTCATTAATTCAGAGAATAAGAAATGTCACAAACTCCAATTCAAGCAGGATCCTTGCAGCATCATGGCTGCTGGTTGCCAGTGGTATGACCTAGGAGTTCCAGTGATGTGTAGACACTAACATGCAGAACTTTCTCACCACCCACGAGCATATACACAAAGCATAAGAAGTACTCCACAGTAATAGGAATGAATTCTTGCTCTAAGGGTTTGGAACAATGAACTTGACAAGTGCTGACAGGGAAATACTTCAGGAACAAAAGCAGGCAGGAATGACATGGCTTACAGATGCGTGGCTATGGTGCTACTTACTGGAGACATGCCTCAAACCTGTGGCTGGGGACTGCTCTAAGGTGGCATATCTAGCTTCTTTTTGGTTTTGCAGACAAGGTCACAGAAGTGATTTTCAGAAGAGTTTGCGTAAGGCAGTGTTGGGAGCTTGACTAACAGACTTCCGAAGCATGCTCCTACTGCAGGAAGGTTTGAAAGAGCTCTTCAGAGACAGACAAAATGAGCATGAGGGCTGTCACCATGGGTAGACTGGAAAGGAATACACCCCTCTAAGTCAATACATACTTACAGAACAAGGAAATATTTACTCAGCACCCAGGGACAGTTTTAGAAATAGCACCAAATGAGCCCTTAAAACCTGTTTCCAGAGTTGAATATTAGGAAGACACTCTGCTTTTGAGTAAGAGCATGACATCCATCCTTTTTCTTCATGTTATAGGTCATTGAGATGACAGCTTGAGCTGCAGACAAGAATCTGACCACTGGAGAAACAAACCCACTAACAGCCAAGCTCCTTTCACACTCACATTGCTTCAGATGCGCTCTCTACATTCCAGATGAGGTTGTGCACTGCTCTTCTGAGTTTAACGTGATCACTGCAGTTCCTTCAGAGGCCTCCCACCAGGACTTTGCTATTGCTTCCAGCTCAATCAATCAGGCTGATCACCGCAATCTCTATCAACAGGATTAAATTACACTTGCCATGTCCACATCCTTTACCTTGTCTCCTTGGTACACAGCGCTCTGACTAAGCTCTGACCCAGCGCTTTCTTCTCTGAATATACACAGTAATGGGTCCTAACTGGTCCTAACTATGCCAGCTATCACTGTAAGCCTTTGCACACATGGAAGCAAAAAAGAGTCAGAAGTTTACCAATATAGTGTGAAATAGGTTCAGTCTTCTGTTACCGTTGTCTGGAGCTTATAACTTGCTTGCCCATTGGTGTTAGTTGTTACACTGAAAACATGGAAGCCAGGGATGAAATCTCCCACTGCAGAGAAAAACTGAGGAATTTAGGAGACAATTGGAATTTCTGTTCCAATTTGCTGACAGAAGCCTTTATTTGTCAGTAGATGGCACAGGAAAGAACAGAAAACTACATTCAAAGAACAAGTACACTGGATAACACACGAGATGACTCACGGGAGTCTGATCAAAAATTCTGCCCCTGAATAACCCCATGGCATTGGGCAAAAGCCTGGAACAGCTTCCTCACTTAACCTGAAACTCAGCAGTTCCTTAAGTAAAATGGAAATTAAAAGACAAAGCCTATAAATACAATAAACTATTCATGAACTTTAAGCTGTTAAGAAAAAAAAAAAAAAATGAAAGCAGCCAAAAAATGTGCCGCAGTTGGTTGTGGGTGTTTTTAATACATACACACATGCAAAAGTGCGTGCGCCTGTACACGTATATACACCTACCTACATGCACGCACTTGCGTACCTAACAGATACTTTGAGGTCTACTAGGTATCAGCTGGAGATTAAATGTGCCAGAATTCAGTGCTTTGGACTCATCAAGCAGCAAACCGTTAGGGTTTGTTAAATTCACACTGGGGAGAGTAGGATGTTGCTTTCTAGGCCACGATACTTGGCGCGCGAGATTCTCAAAAGCGGTCAAGCACTCCGCCACCTCATAAAACAAGATTGTACGAGCAGGCAATTAATTATACACGACTTGCAAGACTACCAACCAACTTTCCAAACGAGCCTTGTGTGTACCATCCTCTGTGCTGTTCCAGCAAGACCAGGAGGAGAGTACACTTTTTTTTGGGAAAGAAAAACTCAGCTAGAGCTGAGCAGCAGCACTCAGAGGAATTCTGCATATATTCACAGACGGATAACTGTCCCAAAGAACTCAGTACTGAAGTTTTTATTCTGAAGCCCTTCTAAAATTATCACTCTCTACCTCTTCTAAAAGCTCCTACTGTTCTCTGGGAGAAGTTACACCACAGGTCACCTGAAAAACATTTTGTGTAAGACACTTTCACTTTCCACATTACATTCCCTACATAACTGACCTATTAAAGAGGTGGTGGAGGCAGAATAAATACAAACAAGGTTTGACATTGGCAAGAGAATAGGAAAAAAGCCACAGCAAATCCAAACACAAAAAAACCCCAAGAACTACTAAAGAACATTGAGTGCTCTGAATTTTTAAGAGCACTCAGCCAGCCTCCTCTCAGATCAGGGAGTCTCTAATATCAACTTATCCAAGGAATCTTAAAGCAAGACACATTTAATATGAAGTGAAGAAGGCACACCGGGATGTTTGCTTGGGGGTATCTTCCCCTAGATTTCTTCTGTGGTGTTTGCCAAGTATTACCAAGTATGACTGATTTGAAGTTTGTGCTAGGAAGCAAGATTTCTTCCAAGATCATGCACACATCTCACCTAAGCTGAAGTGACACGATTTTGCAGGAATCTTAACCCTTTTGGGTTTGGGGTTTTGCATTTTGGTCAAAAGCTGCCATATAGGTAAGGGACACAGATGAGAATGAGTCAGTGCAGGCCATAAGGAAGAAATACACCCTTTCTAATCTTGCTCTCCTTCCAACCCTCTGTGACCTTAAGTCAGACCTTCGTCTAACTTCCTTTTCTAAAGGGTTTACCTTGCCTGGGTATCTCCCATCAGTCTATTTCAGCGTCTTATCATAACCTTCCTGTTTGACATTTGCTCCTAATGTCCTACCCGGTAACTTTCAGACCTTTACAGAACTCAAAAGTTTTTGCACTGAAGGTGTACAAAACTTTAAGAACAGACAACAGCTCTTCCTTGCCACAAAGCAGCCCATTCACTCACATCAAATTGCTGTCATTTAATCCCAGGTTTATCTTGACACAAGGAACAGTTTATTCCTTTCATTGTTGCAACTACCTTTTTACACATTTGAAAGGCTCCACAGAGCAACCCCCTTTTCTTCAGCCTTCCTTGTAAGTCATGTTACCTAGAACTCCAAATTCTCATCTTGGCTTCTTCAGTCAATGTGGATTTTTCTCCCCACAGCAACTCTTCATTCAGTGTTCAGAAGAGAGACATCACATGTTTTTGAAGTTAAAAGAAAACACTCAACCTTGGAAAAACCCTAGACTTGCTCTATAAGAGCATCATTCTTCCACACTTTAGAGAGCAGCCCTGCATCTGTTCTGGAAGTAACTGGACAGCCTGCCTTTCAGTTGCAAACACAGCCTCGACTGAATCACCACAGAGAGGCTAAGAGAAACCACAGACGTGCAAGGACACAGAAGTCCTGCAATATGCCACGATCGCTACGCGGGGAAAAGCAAGAATTCATAGCACAACTACACTGTTAGTTACACGAGAGTCAGAAGACAGCGCAGGGCCACAGATGAATCAATGAAGTGAGGTTAGGTTTAATAGGAAGTGTTTATTTCAGTACTAAACAGTGCTGAAAAAATATTCAGTGCTTTTTCAGCAGCAGCAGCTCAAGTGGCAGGTGGTAAGTTCTAACAACATAGAGGACATTAGAAAATTAGGCTCAAAAAGCCCCCACAGTCAACTTGTTTCAGACTCCTTGCTTCCACTGAGCTGCTGTAGATTACAGAAGCTGCTAAGTGAGCTATATAACCCGGCCCACTTGCCGTATGGACCTTTCAAATTATTTAGCAGAATGGATTGCTGGAAACGGTCTCATCATGAGACACGCATCCTTCTTTCACCGGCAGGAGGGAAGGGGGAACAACAAGGGTCCTACCTACTTCCCGTCTAACGCAAGTCACCGTTTCCTCCAGGGAAGGTGGCATCTGTCCCATTCTGTTCTCCTGCTCGAAGTACAGCTAACAAAACAACACCAAAGAACTTGATCCGTATGTTACGCAGGACCTGACGTTCAGGAGCACATACAACCTATGTCAGTAAAGAGTTACTTTACAGTTAGCACCCAAGGTGCTGTCCTCTGTGACCTTACAGCACCACAGCAGTTGCACCCATAATCCAGGTGACTACAACCTTTGCTACGAGTAGCAATTACCAGTTTCATGCTCCCTGCAGACTGTCACCTCACCAAAACTTACAGAATCTTCTGGAGGTCTCTGAATCTTCCCCCAGTCCACAGATGGTCCCTTTTCTTGCAGGAATCGATGAAACAGCTTCTTAAATCCTTCCAGGTCCTTTTTAGTGTGCTACGAAGAAAAAAATGCACTAGTTAATGCTGGTATTTAATTCATACCTATGCAGTCATGGAAGCATTTCTACAAACTTGATGTACAGTCTATTCAGAAGGGCAGTTTTATCAGCACTGAAGTACAGACAAGCTAAAATTTAAGTAAACTTCTAAAAGGTACCAAAAGCTCGTTTCCACTAAAACTCAAGGCAAAAAGCCAACTAAAAGACAAGTCTTTAGTCAAAAACATAACCCTTAGAATTTGGTCTAATCTTTAGGACAACAGCTTGACCCTCCCCTCTCTGTAATCCATTAAAGATTACATAGAACCTTAATAACTAAAGATGATTAAACACTTAATAATGACTGTCACCCAGTTTATATAAAACTGAGTCTCCTGCTGACACTGAATACAGGGTACTCTTCCGCATAGGATCAGAGCACGTCCTGAAAATAAGGATTGTGGTATTCTGCGATTTGTCTCCCTCTATAATATTTGCCTTAATTTCCTTGATGTAATTTCTCATGCTTTGAGTTGCACCCACATCACGCTCTTACCTCTAGCTCATTTGAATGTGCCGTTGCAAGTATCTTATCAAGTTCTACTTTCATTGAATACTCCAGCTCTTGTCGAATGACTTCCTGAAACTGTGAAGTGCCAGCTTGAGACATTGCTTTGCTGAAATCTTAAATAAAAAGAAAAACAAGGGTTAAAGGAAAAAGAAAACCAGCTTATTCAGACTACAATTAGCCGCCTTTTTTTTTTTTAATAATTAATGAATTTATATAATCTAGTCTTATTCTGTTACTGTGCCAGCACTACAGGAATCTACAGGTTTTGTTCTTGGTAACTTAGAGAACAGGTCTTAAACTGGGGCCACAGAACAACCACGCTTCTCCCAAAACTCAAAAAAGGTCCCAAAAGACCAATGATTCCTCTCAAGAACTGTCCAAAAATCCACACTTTTTTTTGCTAGAGTCCAAGAATTCACATCCTACTGCATCAATGTACTTTGCCAAGTAGAAGTGTGAAAAAGCTTTTCACTAAAAACAATCCTTTTACGCAGAACACTGATCGAGGGTATCCTCCTCACACAAGCAACTAAAAACACAGGCTTTAATTATTTGTACAGTGCCCTTTCACACATCTTCAGTTTGTTCCAGTAAATATTCCCTCACGTTATCGTATTTTCATACTACAGCACGCATTTCGGTTACTAGGCAACCTAGAAAAATCAGTCTATCACTTCAGCATTTGTTTTGCTTTTGGAAGTGATAAATGTGAAAAAGAGTAAATAGGCGAATGTTCTCCGTACAGCGAAGTCCACACCACAGAAAGAAAGGGGAGATAATATGACTTTATTTCCCAACAGCAAGCATCTGAAGCGAGTGCGTTCTGAAAGACATTCCGAGTGTGCGCTCTCAAGATCTCGGTTAATTTAATTTCTGCCAAATCCCTTGAGTAATCACTTCTCTTTAACAGAATGCGATGTATTGCCAAATATAGCTGGATTTTAGAAACACCCTGAATATCAGTGCAAAAAGGGCCAGGAGGAAACTTTGCAAGCGAACAGAGTGATACTGCCAGAAAACACTGTTAGACGAGGAACCTGCATTTAAAGTTTACTTATTTAGAACATGCATTAAAAGACTATTGCATTGAGAATGCCCAAGAAAGCCAGAGGCAGTTCATTTTAATGCAATTTTTATTTGATTTTATTTTTTTTAAGCAAAGTATTCCACAGCCTCAGACTCAGTGACAGTATCTAATCCTTGCTTTGAAGCCCACAGAAGCCATTTTCCTGACTGCACTGTTTTGCAGGTAGGGGGGGAAAAAAAAAAAACAACAAACCAACAGACAAGTGCTGCAGTGCACATACTGCGTGTGGTGCAACACAGGGGAAATGCCAGCTCAAGATGAACACTGCAATGCACGACAGGTCCTCTTTTTAATCACACGCTTCGTTTAGTAGTGAAAAAGGGAATAGTTAAAAGCCTGTTAGGTGTAGCTTTCCAAGTCAAGTATCTAAAAACATAGACAGCTCTTCAATAGGAAGCACCTCCTCCTACAGAAAAACGAGGAGGTCTGTACCAGCTTAATACTTTCACGCCACGCTGCCACAAGCACTCTCTTTTCACGCACAGATATTTGGGTTGATGCATACCAAAACCGTTTAAAACTTCCAGAGAAACAACTGCTAGGAAGTACTTTCATAGGTTTGGAATCCTGCCTACAACATGTTGTAATACGCGACCTCTGTTACAGCAACAACAGTGCCCACTTCTTGCAGTTCATCACCCTGTCCAACACGTGCACCTCCCAACATGATGCAACGCATCTCGGATGAAGCTCGGCATACATCAAGGGTTCACCAGAGACCATCGTCCGTGCTGTGAAACACACCGAGGCTAAGGACAGCAGAGACAGCTAGCAACACTCCCGGGCTGCCACGTAAGTAGGAAAATCTTGTTCACTCCTATTAGCCAAAAGACTTGTATCTACCAGATAAAAGCATTTAGAGATTAAGTAACATCACAAACAAAAGAAAAAGGCATCATAAAAGTAAATGTGTGATAATGTCCTAGTTTTTGTTGTTTTTTTTTTTTAAATAACACTATACATTCTCCACAACTCGGCGAGCAAATGCGAAACACGTTTGATGACCAACAGCCTTGCAAAGCAAAGCAAAGCTGTCGTTTTTCCCAAACACCAAGCCTCAAGCACGCAGACCAGCCAGCTCCATGGGATGTTTCCCACCACAACCCAGCCTGCCAAAGCTACCAGTGCCGACAGCCGCACCCTGGCAACAGGGAATATTTAAGCTTTACAGTGACCGTTTAACCACCACTGCGACCGCTCAGTCTCACCCAGATTCCACACGCCAGGGCATGGTTGCTTGCAGAGAGCATTACTAGTGCTATTAGTACTATTATCATCATTTTGGGGAAAGAGAGAGAGGAAGGACATGGCTGGAGCCCATAAAAACATGCATTTGTCTGGTGCAGGAAAAAGCGTCTATCCTGCATACATGAGAATTTGAATACAGTAACTAAGCAGCCAAGAGAGACGGCAACTCAAAGCTGCTCTGGTTTTCATGTGCCATTGCAAGGCAGAGGCTTTTAAGCATTTATCTGAAGAGATGTCCCCCAGGATTTGTACTGGATGGCTATCCACAGCACTCTCTAAAGGCTCTCCAATCAAGGCCACAGGAACAGCATCGAGGCATCTGCTCTAAACACAAACCCAACACTAGCCTTTCCCTTGTTGCTGCCCCTCAGAGTTTTGGGCAAGAAGCTGGTATTTATGCATCTCTGCTTACCACTAGCAGAAAGACAACTGCAGTCCTTTAACATGAGCTGCTGTTGAATTCAACAGCCCAGGTGAAGGTTTGTTTCCCTTTTTACCCTAGCAGCAATGAGGAAGTAGAAAGGCCAGGGCAACTGCGTATCTGAAAGCAGTTATTTCCTACAGGCAAGTACAATTTCCTAAGGCTATAATGAAAAGCAGTAATTGTGCCTTTAAAAATCAGATGGGAGGCAGAGGTGTTGGGTAACTGCAGGAAGAAATCTCTAAGGGTACGTGCGGCCATAATTTCCCAAATTATTTTTAAAAATAAACGCCCCTTCTAAGCTATTTCACAAGCAACGCCTCAGATTTCAGCCTAAACCCACTTTTATGGGATGAATATTCTTGAACACTCATCTGAATTCAGAGAAGGGTGGGATAAGGTAGTGGAAGTCCCTTGGGGGACCAGCCCACGCAGGAAATTAGCACAGAAGAGCATGACTAAATATCTGAGGCTTTGCAAAAATGACCACCCAGCGTATCTGATTTTAAGGTCTTCAGTAGAAAGTGCTTCCTCCTCAAGTAGCAGAGGAAGGACAGCTCTTTAATCCAGTTTGCAGCCGTGTCTGACACCCCGGGAGTTTCACTCAAACCCTCCCACCCCCACTGTTATTTCTAGCATGTGCTCTGCTCCCCCTGCTAACCTGCCCCCTGCCCTCAGGGCACGAGCTACAGCATACAGCAGACTTTCTGCAGGTTTATGATACATAACTTTATAACTGACATACAAAAAAAACCCCCAAAATATGATAAATCCGATCAAAGTAATAAAAAAAAAAAAAAGAGGTGGTCTAACACTATCAGAAACAAAATAAAGGACAGATGTCCTCAGGAAAACTGCCCGAGCAGTGACCCCACGCTCAGGGGTTTGCACGTATTTCCTTTCTGCTGTCCCTCCCCTTACTCTACATTAAAAGCAGCAAATGTGTCAAGGTTGATTAGTTTTGTTCATTAATTCGCCCAGAAGAGAACTTTGCTGCTTTGGTACTCAGTATAAAAGACCCAGCACAGGAGAGAGTCACGGGACAAGTCAAGCAAGAAATCCCCTCTCTTTTGGAAAAAAAAAAAGAGAGAATCCTTTGGGTTGAGGGCTATGAATTGTAAGTATACAGAAAGACCTACAACAGAAAATTATTTAGGTCCTCTTGGAGCCAGACTCCTTGCGTAAAAATCAAGAAGGGTGACCAGTAAGTTAAGGCACGCGGCTGAACTTTAAGCGCTCTACCCTTGAACCCTGTGCTGAAGGTAGAGAGTGAATGCCTTGACTTCCACCAAGTCCGCTGAAAGTTCAAGGCGATTTTTATCCCCAGCGAGGATAAAATTCTCCTAAAACACCCACGCTGTAACACGCAACGCTAATAAGTATTACTCGGTTTGATTTTTAGGACTGAACGTACCCG